GGTGCTCCTCCTGTGGGCATCTTGGGGTGACCTCGGGTTCTTCTTGGGACCTCTTGGGGGCTTCTTTGGTGTTTGCTGGTGGCGTGTTCTCTGTGGGCGAGGGGCTCGACTTGCTGGTTCGAACTCCCCCCTTTTGGCCTCCTCTTGGGCTCCTCCGAGGGCCCTCTTGGGCCGTCCTCGGCGCCTTTGGCCCGTCTTGGGGCGATCTTGCAGCTTTCTGGGCGTCTTGGTCGCTGCGAAGACGAGTCACGAGATGGAGATGTTAAGCAACATCAGAAATTTGCGTCACCATGAGTGGCTGGCATCATTTGGGCCTTTCGGGTTCTTCTTCGGGGGGCGTCTTGCGACCCGCAGGTTATGTTGTGGCAGATCGGACTGTGTAGTCTGTGTGTGACTTGAGACGGACGACTGGCGGAGCTGGTGGAGAGGGTGGGAGACATTTTTTCCATGCGCAGCGACATTGTCGGGCATGCCGCGCGCTCAGCGCGCGCAGGAGCCCGCAGCCCCTTGAGGCAGGCGCCCTTCCTCTCAGCGGGTGGGCGGGGGGGGGTAGGTCGGGGCGTGAGGCGCGAAACGCAGGCCGACTCCCAGAGCCAGGCCCGGATAATCATCTTCGTGGAGCCAGCCCAAGGGCATTACGTTGTTGTGTCGTGGTAATCGGGTTGACCCAAACATGGGTCCAGCGACAAGGGGGTGGTGCAATAGGTTTGGTGCAATACATTTGTGGGGTTGCAACACGTTTGGGGCGTGCAATACATTCCGGGGCGCAGATATATTTCTGGGTTCTCGCGTGCAACGAACTACTTGCAACACAATGCAATCCAATTCTATGGCGCCGTACATTTGCAATACAATTGCTCAGCATTTATTGCACCACCCCCTTTCAGCTGGATTTTGTGTCACCCAAAGGTAACAAAGGTCCGCGTCATCATGGCAGGATGTGGTGAGTTGTGTATAGCAACTTCGTTATCATCGCCTACCTCCCCTCCCCGTACTCCTTGCCGCGTGGGTCGGTGGCGGACAGCAGGCTTCGCGTCGCACTGCGCACCAAAAACCATAGGGAACGCGCGGCCGAGCCGCCCGACGACAGACGAGCGAAAACAATTTGGCGCCGAGAGGCGGCACCCGGGCGAAGCTTCGGCAGCTCCCCCAAAACCTTTCCCTCTTGTGAAGGGGGTTTATTTTGGAAGCTAGGTCACCTCCCTTCCCCTCTTGGCTTCCAGGAGGTTCCCGGGCCCCCTTTCGAGGGGGAAGGCTTCGGAAGTTACCTCCCCCTCCTTCTGCGAAGTAGGGGGGCGGGGCGCCAGTCAGGGACAGCTCTGTTGGAAGCGGGCGGGGGGGGGGGGCATCGGCTCTGCCAGGGGCGGGGCGGAGTGCGGGGCGCGGGACACGCGACCCCGCCGTGAGGCGCGCGCGCACCCGATGGAGGCAAAGAATGGGGAAGGAAAGGGGTTTCGGAATCTGGGGATCAGCAGTGTGCCCACAACTTGTACCTTTTCCTGCACTTCGACTTCGGCACCGCCTGATCCCAGGGCTCTGCCCTCTCTCGGCCTTGACGTGAGGCCCCGCCTTCTTTTGCCTCCCCTCTGCTAGTTACAGCTGTGCGCGGCCCGCTTAGCTTCTATCGGAAGAGGTGTGCTCTCGACCCGCGGATCAAAAAAATGTGCCCACAACTATTGCTGCTGAGAGTTGCGGGGAGGAGGCGATGCCGCAAGCAATTCGAGAGAGAAACGCCTGCCCTTCCTCCAGCTAAGCAGGGCTCCGCCTGTTGGAGAAGAGCTCGGTGAGCCAGAGTTGTCCCAGCGTGAGCCTCCACGTGGGAGGGGAGGGGAGGGGAGGGAGGGGGAGAGGAGGGGAGGGAGGGGAGAGAGGAGGGAGGGGGAGAGGCGGGGAAGGAGGGGGAGGGGAGGGAGGGGGAGAGAAGGGAGGGGAAGGGGAGGGACGGGGGAGAGGAGGGAGAGGAGGCGTGGGTCGCCAGCGCGCCCCGCTCCACAGGCCCTGTCTGGCGCCGGCCCTCGCGCCGGCCGCCTGCCCCCGCCCGTGCCGCCCGCTCGGAGTGGGGATTTGTCCGTCACCGCTGCCCGAGGGGTTGAATTGCGGGGGCTTCGGCAGACGGCGAGTGCGACAGTGCAAGCAGGGGTGATGAAGGTGGCCACTCGTGCCCATTCTTTGCATACCTTGCCTGTGATGCCCGGTGCCTTGGCACTTGTCGCCCACGCGCTTCGGCGCGTGGCTCGGCGTGGCAGGGCGGGGGAACAGATGCGGCCGTGCCCACCGCGTGCCGATGTCCCCATGGATCGATCTCCCAGGCAGCGGCCGCCGCGCACCCCATTCCCCCCCTGGCAGGGCTCAAGCCGGCCCTGCCGGCAGCCAGAGCTCGAGCCAAAGGCTGCGTCCGCCGGGATGGCCTGCGCGCTGCCCCCGCTGTCTGTTGGCGGCCAGGCGCGGCCGCCGACGAGCCAATCTGGGGCGCTCCGAACTCGCGGGTTGGGCCCCTTTCTCGGCTCGATTCGATCTGGCCCGGTTCCAAGGCATCGACCAGGGCCGGCCGGGGCCAGCCGCGGCGATCCGATCCGTTCTGCGTAGTTTTTTGACGGCCCCCAGGCCCGGTAAGGGCACCAAGAGGCCCAGAACAGCGAAAAACCGATTGGCCGCTATATTGCCAGGGCGCGAAGGGTCCGGGCCTCTGAATGTCCGGAAGCCGCTGGCAGTTTTCGGACCACAGCTCGGGCCTCTGGCGGCCGTGCGGGGGCGATCGGGCACCCCCAGAGCGACCTCGGCGAGGCGCGGCCGCTGGACAGCCTCCCGAGGCGGGAAAGCCATTACTACTCTACTACTACTACAACTACTACTACTACTACTACTACTACTACTACTACTACTACTACTATTACTACTACTACTACTACTACTACTACTACTACTA